CCCCCAACCAAATACTGCACTGGAATGTCAGCTAGGACTTTTTGCACAATAGTCATGCAGGGAAACTTAAACCCATAACCTTCTGACTCAGAGAACAAGGTTGTAGGTTCAAGTTTAACATCGGATGTATTATTTCATGAACAAGGATGCAAGTTGTTACCAGGGCCACACAAGAACATAAAAATTAGGAGTAGGCAATTCATTCCATCGAGCCTGCTCTGCCATTTAATACAATCATGACTGATCTCATCTTGCTCTCAAATTCACTTGCTGCCTGCTCCCCATAACCCTTTAATCCTTTTCTAATTAAAAATTTGTCTATCTGAAAGTAATTGCTCAGGTCTTGGGTCCCTATACAAACATTCCCCACTGCCTTTTATTTGAAACAAACATGTTGTAAGATGAGCGGAGACATTATCCAGTTGATGTTTACACACTGGATTGATAAGGAAGCCAATCAGATCAATGGTCACAGTATGATATTTTTAGATGATTGCTTCAGTAAAACTTTGACAAAGATGCAACAATAACAAGCACATCAGTTGCAGCCAAGAATTAAAGCGAGGGTCAAAGGCATCACAAAGTTTCATTATAACCCTCATATTTGAAGGGTTACATTCATGTAAATGGCTTTTCAATGTGAATTAGTCGGTGTTGCATGAGAGTCGATGACTGTCTGAAGGTTTTCTCACAAACCTCACACTTGAAGGGTTTCTCCCCCGTGTGGATCCTCTGGTGGAGCAGGAGGTACCATGACCGCGAAAATGATTTGTTGCACACCTCACATGTGAATGGTTTCTCTCCTGTGTGAATGCGTTGGTGTACACGCAGGTTTGATGATCGTGAGAATGATTTGTCACACATCTTGCACGTGAATGGCTTCTCCCCTGTGTGTATTGTCTGATGTGTCAAGAGATTGGAGGATTGACTGAAAGCCACCTCACAGACCTCACACTTGAATGGTTTGTCCCCTGTGTGAATCCTCTGATGTCTCAGCAGCCTTGAAGATATCCGAAAAGCTTTATCACAAACTTCGCACTTGAAGGGTTTCTCGCCTGTGAATGTGTTCTCACCAGTGTGAATAAGTCGGTGTTGCATGAGGGTTGATAACTGTCCAAAGGTTTTGTCACAGACCTCACACTTGAAGGGTCTCTCCCCTGTATGAATCCTCCGATGTTTCAGAAGCCTCGTTGATATTGCAAAACCTTTTTTGCAGATTTCACACTTGAAGGGTTTCTCCCCTGTGTGGGTTGTCTGATGGACCAGGAGGCTTGATGAACATGTGAAGGCTTTGTCACACACTTCACATTTGAATGGTTTCTCTCCTGTGTGCACAGCACGGTGTACACGTAGGCATGTTAACTGCGGAAATGATTTGTCACATACCTCACACGTGAATGGTTTCTCCCCTGTGTGAACACGTTGGTGTGCACGGAGGCTTGACGACTGTGAAAATGATGTATCACACACATCACACGTGAATGGTTTCTCCCCTGTGTGAATGCGTTGATGTCTGCGGAAGGTGGATAAATCAGAGAATGATTTGTCACACACTTCACATGTGAATGGTTTCTCCCTGCTGTGAGTGCGTTGATGAGCACGGAGGGATGATGAGTGGGAGAACAATTTATTGCACACATCACATCTGAATGGCTTTTCCCCAGTGTGAATGCGTTCATGTTCGAGGAGGGTTGATATACGTGAGAACGATTTGTTGCACAGTTTGCACATGAATGGCTTCTCCCCCGTGTGAATGCGTTGGTGCGCACGGAGGGTCGATGAATGTGAGAATGATTTGTCACAAACCTCACAGGTGAATGGCTTCTCCCCTGTATGAATGCGTTGGTGTTCAAGCAGGGTCGATCTACGAGAGCATGTTTTGTCACATACTTCACATGTAAAAGGCTTTTCCCCAGAGTGGATATGTTTGTGGTCCTTGAGTGCTGATGACTCTGTGAAAACCTGGCCACATATGTCACACTTGAATGGTTCCGCCTCCATATTGCACAAAAGATACACCTTGTTAAGAAATTTTACGAGCCTGTGGAACCCTCCTCACACATCTCGCGCCTGACCAGTTCTCACCTGTAGGAATGAGTCATCAAGCTCAATGAACGATTGAAGCTGTCACCACACTTGGAGCCACTCACACTTCTTTCCAGCCTCACCCTGCCGATCACCCACAGATGAACTTCAGAAAGGTTGGTTCTGATGGAAGGCGCCACACCACTGACCAGTTTCAGATCTGTTGATGTGTCAGTGCTCCCCGACCCAACCAATTTCCAAATGATGGTTTCAATGCCCAACCTTCTCTGTGTTGAGCAGTGCTGCAAAAGGACTGGATGTCTTCCCACAGTTGTGCAGTTGTTCCTTGGGTGATGATCAGGATCTATCTGTGATGTCTATCCTCTCTGTATTCTCTGATTTAGTACAGTGCAATCCTTCTGTAAAACAGGGAAAGGGAACATGAGTGTGAATTTTCCCTATTTCAGTTGAAAGCTTTTGTCAAGTGAGGCTTCTGGTTCCCAATTTGCCATAGCTGAAGGGTAACTTTTCTCACCCAGTCTTCCACACTTCTCCTTATTGGTTACGCAACTGGTCTGTTGCGTGCCTTTCTCAAGGAATCACACAACCGGAGAGGTGGATGTGCTCACCATTGCAATGACCTTCCAGTGTTTATGCCACTGGTGCCCTAATGAAAGTTTTACCCCACTTCAGACACTCCAAAGCAAGAACTGGCCCTCATTCTGTGGAGTTTGACTGTTATCACCTCAGACATGGCCCAGTGGAAAGGAATCTGTCTCCCGCTTCACAGACAGGGACATGGAGGTGTTGCTGGATGGTGTGGTGGAGTGGAGGCAGTCCTTTTATATGTGGTGTACCAAAGGAGGCCACACAACCAGCCAAGCCAGTATGAACCCAAATTGCACCCTGTCTGGTGATGCATCCCAGGTGCAAAGGGACACCCAGCAGTACATGAAAAATATCAATAATCGACCCTGCTTGAACACCAACGCATTCATCCCATACTGCAACCCTCCCTACCCTCTGCGTTTCTTACTCCCTCGCTGGTGACACCTCACTGCCTCTCCTGCTTGTACACCACCACTAACTGCTCTTCCATCAATTTCAATAAGACTCAATTCCTCCCTTTGTCTCATTGTCAGAAAAGTGGTCCACCCCACTGGACTCATGTCTCCACAGCAACCTGCCTGTAATCCCTGGACTGATTACACTTCAGCTTCTTGCCAAGGCCCAGTACATGGACTGTGAGGACACAAATCCCTAAACTCTGATCCCTAAAGTATCTGACAGAATGTGATCAAAGCCGTGGACTAGAACAGTATAAGCCACTTGACTGATTGTGGCAGTATCTGTGCCTGACCTTCACCTCACTCAGGATTACTCCCATTTGACTTTCATATATGGCTATTTACTTGAAGCACATGCAGTGAGTTTGTCACGTAAGCTGCTGGAACATGCTGCAGATCTGACATTGAGTAAGCAGGGTGCTGCACAATGACAGGTCTCCCCTTGACTGTTCCGTGTTCCCCACTGTGACAAGCTGCCTGCCCCTCCCTCCACACTAAAAAAGCAATACAAGCCACAGAGAACATTAAAGATAATGAGTGCTAAGAAAGCAACATGACCCACATCGAGGCTGAAAGGCTGTAAGCCAGTGCTGAAGTCAGTGAATAGATGCTGAGAAAACAATATGAAGTGGAAAGAGGCTGGCAGCCTCCAATTAAGCACAAAATGAGTGAATACTAAGAAAGCAAGTCTACAGCCATAAGATAGACAATTATGTATGCAAGAGATGTATGCATATTGCTGTGCACAAAACCAAATGTGTTCCTGAGGCCCAAATGAAATCTTGAAAGTCTAAAGTAGTGTAAGTGTTGGTGCATGAGCAAGTGTGATGAAATGGTGGTTAGGTAATGCTGGCCCCATCGATGAAGGTTCAAAGTGGATGGTGACACTGGAACATTCAGGGATATTGTTGTGAGGAAGCATTTGGAAATGACTGGGACAAGGATTCAATGTGGTGCAGCCTGCAGGTACCCACTCAGATTTACATGTTGGGAATTTTCATTTCTCAGGGAAGGATAGGAAAATTAGAAGTGGCCTTTGAATAAAGCAACTTGGGCTTTACTGAGATGATTAAGAAAATTAAAATTAACAAGTTATCAAAAGTGTCAAGGAGTATGAATGATGTGTCACCAGCTGAACATCAAGTATACGTCTCAGAGGTTATCCCTTCACTTGCTTTTCAGCCTGTTGACAGTCCACTCACACCATTTGTACTAACCTTTGACACTCTTAATTACCTGGAATTATCTTGCAATGATCTCTCCGCCTATAAATTCTGTGCTTGTGCGCTTCCCTCCAATTCACCTGATGAAGGAGCAGCACTCTGAAAGCTTGTGATTTCAAGTAAACCTGTTGGACTATAACCTGGTGTCATGTGACTTCTGACTTTGTTCACCACAGTCCAACACCGGCACTTCCACATCATAGATCAGGTTGACAGTCAGAATCTTTTTCCCAGAGTAGAAATGTCTAATACTAGAGGGCATGCATTTAAGGTAAGGGGTAAAAATTCAAAGGAGATGTGAGCGTGGCAGGTGCCTGGACCATGCTGCCAAGGATGGTGGTGGAGACAGATACGATAGGGGCACTTAAGGGACTTTAAGCGCCTGAATAAGCAAGGAATGGAGGATATGGACCATGGGCATTCAGAAGGGATTAGTTTAACTTGGTGTCATGTTCGGCACAACATTGTGGGCCAAAGGGCCTGTTTCTATGCTGTACAGTTCTAGTTCTACGTTTATACAAGAGAAATGTTGATTGACTCACGATTTGGAATTTTCTCCCTTTGTTTTCCAAAATTATTTAAAGAAAACACACTGGGCAGGAGGTGTTATTGGCTGAGGAGAATATTGCTTCATTCTAGCTTTTTGAAAGTTTCTGATTTATTCTGGGAAATTAGACACATTGCACTCATGCAGACTGCAAAAATCAAATTCAGCTGTCAGCCACACCTCTGAGCAAAACAATCAAATCCAAACCTAGGCTTTTGGGAAAGGCCAAGGCTTTCTTGTAAAATCTTCGAAGAAGACATTGAAAGACTTTTAAATAAACGTGCCTGGAGTATGCCAGCCGAATTGCTATAGAGATTACAGAGATAGAGAGGGGTAAGGTCATGGAGGCATTAGAAAACAAAGCGGAGAACTGTAAAATTGAGATGCTTGTTGATCATGAAACGATGTAGATCAGTAAGCAGAGGGCTGTTTGGGAATGAGTCTTGTTGTCAGATAGGACCTGGAGGAGCTCAGGTTACATAGCAAGATGTAAGACCAGCTAGGAGAGCACTGGAATAGTTGAGTCCAGAGCCGATAAAGATATGGATGAGGATTTCATAAGCAGATGAGCTGAGGCAGAGTGTCACTGGTCTCTCCTGGATGGAATTTATACTGCTTTCTGTGCGCAAGGTCCCAGTTCATGACCATCATCAGAAAATGACAGTGACAGTCAGGGATGGTGATGGAGAACCACTCATAAAATCAGACACAATCACAGAATTGTCTGACACAAAAGGAGTGTGGCAGCCACACTGTCACACAATCTGTCTTTTGGGGCAAACAAGACCCCTCCTTTCCTCTCTGAGGTGAGGGTAAAAGATTCCATGGCACTACTTTGAACAACAGGGAGGTTACCTTTGGTGTCCTGGCTAATATTAGGCCCTCAATTAAAATTAACAAAAACAGATTAACTAGTCATTATCACATTGCTGTTTGTGGGAGCTTGCTGTGCACAAATCAGCTGCCACTTTCTCTGCACTATAACAGTGAACACATTCAAGAGCACTTTATTGGCTGGAAAGTGCCATGGGATGTCTGGTGGTCATGAAAGGCTCCATCCAAATGCATGCCTTGTTTGCAAAGAGACAAAACATCCCATCCCAAAATACAGAGAGAGCATTGGATACAGAGGGGTGACCTTATCGAGGTTTATGAAATAATGAGGGGCATGAACAGGGCGGAGAAGTCCAAAACTAAAGGACATAGGTTTAAGGTGAGGGGAAAGATTGTAAAAAAGACCTGAATGGTAACTTTTTCATGCAGAAGGTAGTGCATGCATGGAATATGCTGCCAGAGGAATTGGTGGAGGTGGGCACAATTACAACATTTAAAAGGCATTCTGGACGGGTACATGAATAGGTAGGGTTTTGGGGCATTTGGGCTAAATGTTGGCAAATGGGACCAGGTCAGATTGGGATGGCTGGTCAGCATAGGTAAGTTGCACAGAAAAATCTGTTTCTGTGCTGTATGAGTCCATAACTGACCATTCACAGTCCACAGGATAATAACCAGCTCGCAACACACACACACACAGACAACAGGAATTCAATAAGCATCCTCAGACACTCTGCACCTCCCAGATAATGACACCTCACCTTCTCATATTCAGGAATGAGCCATCAACAAAACTCAGCCTGGAAATCAGAAGGGAAATGCTTCCAACAAACACACTCAATATCCAACACACAGCTCCAGTCAAACAGTTCAGCACAAAGCACTGAGTAAACAGCTCTCTCAGCTGGATCTTCTCACACAGCATAAGGGACATTTCCACCCCTGACTGTCCACAGGATAGTCAGACTGCCTGAAGATTGGTGTTGATATTGGGATACAATTTGTATAAAAGCTGCTCTTCACTCACCACCTCCTCACTTGGTTTTCAGTCCCAATAGGAAGTGAACCAGCTCTGGAAGAGGAAGAGGGGTGAATGGGCAGAGTGGGTGGGCTCTCTGATTGACATCTCTCACAGTCAATCCAAATATTTCTGATGCAAGAGATAACAAGGTGGAGAGCTGGATGAACACAGCAGGCCAAGCAGCATCAGAGGAGCAGAAAGGCTGACGTTTCGGGCCGAGACCCTTCATCAGAAAAGGGGGAGGGGAAGGGGGTTCTGAAATAAATAGGGAGAGAGGGGGAGGCGGATAGAAGATGGATAGAGGAGAGGATAGGTGGAGAGGAAACAAACAGGTCGAAGAGGCGGAGATGGAGCCAGTAAAGGTGAGTGTAGGTAGGGAGTTAGGAAGGGGATAGGTCAGTCCAGGGAGGACGGACAGGTCAAGGGGACGGGATGAGGTTGGTCGGTAGGAGATGGAGGTGCGGCTTGAGGTGGGAGGAGGGGATAGGTGGGAGGAAGAACAGGTTAGGGAGGCAGGGACGAGCTGGACTGGTTTTGGGATGCGGTAGGGGGAGGGGAGATTTTGAAGCTTGTGAAATCTACATTGATACTATTGGGCTGCAGGGTTCCCAAGCGGAATATGAGTTGCTGTTCCTGCAACTTTCGGGTGGCATCGTTGTGGCACTGCAGGAGGCCCAGGATGGACATGTCGTCTGAGGAATGGGAGGGGGAGTTGAAATGGTTCGCGACTGGGAGGTGCAGTTGTTTATTGCGAACCGAGCGTAGGTGTTCTGCAAAACGGTCCCCGAGCCTCCACTTGGTTTCCCCGATGTAGAGGTAGCCACACCGGGTACAGCGGATTCTCCAGCATCTGCAGTTCCTACTATCTCTCCTCAGTGTATGCTGCATGAAATAGTGACATCAGCCACAGAAGAAAGGAATGGACCTTGTCCCTCACCAGCTGACCATCAACTCCCTCACCTTCCTGAATATGGGTGTGATGTCTATTTTCTTGACAATGAGAGCATTATGGCATGATCCACTGTGAATGAATTCACATGGAATATTCTCAGATGGCCATTACACATGACACGAAGGAGAGGAATTGTTTTCTGTTCAGGGAGCTCTGTGAGTTTCCTAGGATGACCTTCACCCTCTCCTCCTTCTCTCCCTCCCCTATCTTTTTCCAAGACGGCAGCCAGTGCTGATCAACAGGACAGGATGGTGCATATGGCGCTAATCACCGGGGCCCAGGAGAGGCTGGCGTAAATAGTACTGATAACTGGAGTCTGACAGAAGGCGGTACAAATGGTCCTGATCACTGAGAATGGGCAGAACAGATAATACTCATCGTTGGAGCATGGGAAAGGATGGTGCAGATGGTGCTGATGACCAGGATCTGGTAGAGAGCAGTGCAGATGGTGGTGATCACTGTGGTCTGGAAGAGGGTGGCGCATACGGTGCTGATCACAGGGATCTGGTGGAGAATGTTGCAGACAGTGCTAATCACTGGACTCTAGTGGAGAGCAGCGCAGATGATGCTGATCACTAGGATTTGGTGGTTCCTAGCAAAACTGGAATCAACAGGCATCAGAAGGCAAACTCTCTGCTGGTTAGAGTCATACGTGACGCATAGGAAGATGGCTATGATTGTCAGAGGTCAGTCATCTCAGCTCCAGGATATCTCTGCTGAACTTCCTCAGGGTAGTGTCCTTGGCTCAACCACCTTCAGCCTCCTCAACCAATAATAGAGTGGATATTCAACCCCAAATGCTTCCCTCCAACATAAGGTCAGAAGTGGGGATGTTTGCTGATGATTGCACAATGTTCAGCATCATCCACAACTCCTCAGATACTGAAACAGTTCATGTTCAAATGCAACAAGATCTGGACAATATTCAGGCTTGGGCTGACAACTGGCAAGTAACATTTGCATCACACAAATGCCAAGCTATCACCAATAAGAGATAATCTAATCACCAGCCGTTGATATTCAATGATGTTACTATCACTGAATCCTCCACTATCAACATCCTGGGTGTTACCATTAACCAGAAACTCAACTGGACTCACAAAAGCATAGTGGTTACAGGAGCAGGTCAGAGCTAGGAATACTGTGGCGAATAACTCACCTCCTGACTCCCCAACATCTGTCCATCAACAAGTCGCAAGTCAGGAGTGATGGAATACGCTCCACTTCCCTGGATGGTGCAGCTCCAACAACACTCAAGAAGCTTGACACCATCCAGGACAAAGCAGCCTGCTTGCCTAGTGACAATCCACAAGTATCCGCTTCCTCCACCACCAACACTCAGTCACAGCAGTATATACTATCTACACGATGCATTGCAGAAATTCACCAAAGATCCTAAGACAGCACCTTCCAACCCACGACCACTCCATTTATAAGGACAAGGGTAGCAGATACATGGGAACACCACCACCTTCAAGTTCATCTCCAACCTACTCACCATCCTAATTTGGAAATATATCGCCATTCCTTCATTGTTTCTGGGTTAAAATCCTGGAATTCCCTTCCTAAGGGCATTGTGGGTCAACCTACAGTGTGAGGACTGCAGCAGTTCAAGAAGGCAGCTCAACACCACCTTTTCAAGGGGAACTTGGGATGGGCAATAAAAATACTGGCCAGCCAGTGATGTCTACATCCCACAGGTGAAGGAAAAAATGAGTAAAATGTCTCCTCCCAGTGGAAAAAAAAAATTTGAGAAGAATAATCTATGAGTTTCATATATTTCTGAAATTTTCAGTGAAAGCGTCTTGTTTTTTTATTTTGTTTTGATCCCCTGCTTTGCAAATGTGCAATAATCTTGTGTATAGTTGCCTTCTACTTTCTTGTGATGTATCATCTTAACATTTTTCCTTCATTATTTGGTGCATATTTCCTTTATGAAGCTTGAGAGTCTATCCCCCCAGTTAATTTGTGATGATTTATCATGGTTCCTTTATCTTTCTCTTCTTTTCAGTCATGCCCTTTGTTAATATTTTATCAATAAAAGGCTGTTTAATTTCTCCTTCAGTTTAACTCAATTTAGTAATGTGTGTTGTTTGATCCTGGTGTCTTGTACAATACTTGTACAATAAGAATGTTTGAATACCATCCCTTATCAGTTATAGGCTTCAGTTTTATGGTTCCCAACTAGAGTTAACGTCTTACTTTTATAGTGAGTTGTGATAGTGTCATGTCTCTTTCCAGAGCTTCCTTTGTGTGATTACACAGTTGTTTATACCTTTTTGTTTTGTTTGTGCTGTGTGCTGATCCGTTAACTGAATAGCACATGCGTGTCCTGCCAAATTAGTTACACTTATTTCTCAATCAATCACTTATACTTTTAACCAAATATTGTTAAAACAAGACCTGGCGACTCCACAAGCACTTCCATTTTCAACCAATCTTGATTCCAACATGTGTATCAAACACCACGTTATAGCCTCCTCAACCAATATAGAGTGGATATTCAACCCCAAATGCTTCCTTCTGCATTGGTAGCATTTGTATCTGACCCCCCACACTGGGGAATAGCAGATTAGCACTCAATATGGAACAGTCTCTCACTGAGGACTTAGCTCCTTCAGCAAAGGAGGAGAGGGAGTTAGAGGAAATCATGTTTCCTTTTCCTGTTTTCCAGAAGGAACATACCGTACTACACCAGAGATTACAGACAGAGGTGATACACCACAGATAGATCCTGATCACCACCCAAGGAACAAGTGCACAACTGTGGGAGTAGAGAGCAATAAGTGAGGTTTTGCTCAGTTAGCACAATGACAAGTTTAAACCTCCACCTGATCTGCTGCTCAAAGTCACCTCCATTTCACCGGTCAGTTTCCCAAGCTTCAGGAAACTCATGTTACTCCAGAAATATTTGGGTTGACTGTGAGAGATGTCAATCAGAGAGTCCACCCACTCTGCCCATTCTCTCCTCTTCCTCTTCCAGAGCTTGTTCACTTTCTATAGGGACCGAAAACCAAATGCGGAGATGGTGAGTGAAGGAGCAGCTTTTATACAAATTGTATCCCATAATATCCACACCAATCTTTAGGCAGTCTGACTATCCTGTGGGTAATCAGGGTGAAAATGTCCCTTATGCCGTGTGAGAAGATCCAGCTGAGAGAGCTGTCTACTCAGTGCTTTGTGCTGAACTGTTTGACAGGAGCTGTGTGTTGGGATATTGAGTGTGTTTATTTCCCTTCTGATTTCCAGGCTGAATTTTGTTGATGGCTCATAACTAAATATAAATCATGAGCACATTCACACAGGGGAGAAACCATTCACAAGTGAGATGTGTGACAAGAACTTTGCACAGTTGTCAGGTCTGTTGAAGCATCGGCTCATTCACACAGGAAGGAAACTGTTCACGTGAGGTATGCAACAAATCATTTTTGCAGTCGTCGATGCTCCGTGAACACCAACATATTCAAACAGGGGAGAAACCATTCAGGTGTGAGGTGTGTGACAAATCATTCTCACAGTCAGGGAACCTCTACACACCAAAATATTCACACAGGGGAGAAACCGTTCAAATGCGAGGTATGTGACCAATCATTCTCAACATTAGTGGAACTCCGGAAACACCAAAGTGTTCACACACAGGAGAGACCACTCATGTGTAACATGTGCAACAATTCATTCACACAGTCAGAGAGCCTCTGCAGACACCAAAGTATCCGGACAGGGTAGAAACTGTTCAAATGTGAGGTGTGCGACAAATCAAGACTTCTGCTCCATCGGAGGATTCACACAGAAGAGAAACCATTCACATGCAAGGTGTGTGACAAATCATTTTGATATCATCGATGTATCAGAGAAAGAGTTGTGGGTGGGGGCTGGAATAGGAGTGGAACAAGGAATGTTCCACGTACCCCATGAAGAGACAGGCATAACTAGGGCCCATGAGGGTACCCATGGCAACCCCTCCTACCTGAAGAAAATGGGAGGAGTTATGAGCTTGGCCAAGCGGAGGAGGGTGGTGGTGGTTGGGGATGGTTCAGGTCTTTGCTCCAGGAAGAAGCGGAGAGTCCCAAAACCGTCCTGGTGGGGAATGGACG